GATGTGTATGTTCAGTTAAAATGTGAGGATGTGAGGTGTATGTTCAGATAAAATGTGAGGATGTGAGGTGTATGTTCAGATAAAACGTGAGGATGTGATGTGTATGTTCAGTTAAAATGTGAGGATGTGAGGTGTATGTTCAGTTAAAATGTGAGGATGTGAGGTGTATGTTCAGATAAAATGTGAGGATGTGAGGTGTATGTTCAGATTAAATGTGAGGATGTGAGGTGTATGTTCAGATAAAGTGTTGGGATGTGAGGTGTATGTTCAGATAAAATGTAAGGACAGTGAGTCGAGAGAAAAACTGAGCATTACCTGTTAAATGGAAAACGGATTTAAATCCCAATCCAAATCTACCAACTTTCAAAGGTTCTTTTTCTTTTTGACTACACTGTATGGCAGCAATACCTTTCCAATCTTTATCAGTAAATATACCATTGTTGTGTACACATATAGCAGGTGCCTTGAAAGTAAACAATCGTGGACAATCATGGACGAGAGGTCAGTAAGATAAAACAGTACAGCCTATTGTTCATTGTTCTTGCCCATGCACAGATTCACTTCCAGACAACAAAGGAATGCAACTATGTCGGACTAGAAGGGGAGCAACTCTAATTAAAAAAAAAGCCTTAATCAGACCACAATGTGTACAAATTACAAGTTAGGTTGAAAAGTTGTCATAATTTATTCCTTTTAACAGGATACAATAGATCTATTATAATAGTAAAATAATCAGATTACCACAAGATTATTTGAATGTAAATTAACATGAATGATGTCATAACGTTAATCAATGCTTGATTACCTGCATAGCAATTTTAATTGGTGTTTCTTTCCATGCTTTCATTGAATATTGAATTTCTTCATGTTTTTTACCAGTGTATAGAAACTTAACTTCTGTAGCTCCACCATCTTCAGCATTTTGTATCAGTTCCTGGTTAAAATCAAAGATGGTGATTTAAATAATATTGCTTACCAGCTGATTTTTCACCTTTCACAATCAAAAGCCCGGCCTAGATGGACGAAGATATTTCAACACAATAGTAACAATACAAGTATATCAATATATATTACCTTAATAATCTGTCCATCTGAATATTGTTCTAGTAGACGTTTCAATTGATCTATGATTGGAGGCAATTCAATTTCACAGAAATCTTCATCCGATGCTTCATCTGATTTTAAATGATAAGAAGCATGAAATTTAGCGTGATGTGACAATATCAACAGCAAAATTGTTTTAAAAAAATATTCATTACGTATTTTGACAGTCTTATTTAAATTTGAACAAAATTCTGGTAACTTGATAAACATCGATTCACAAAATTCCAGTGCTAAAGAGGATAGAAAATTTGATTAAAGATTGGTTCAAGCAGACGTCATTGAGTTAGGTCACAAGGTTAATTTGACTAACATTTAATAGGGCTGTCGTTAGATCCTAACTGAAGTGGCTATATTAAAAATAAAAGCTAATTAAAACGGAGCGAAAGATTCCATGGTCAATCATGTTGTATTTCATATAAACATCAATTAAATAACATATTTCACAACAATTCTGAAAATATTTTATATGATATATATATTAATCTGTATGTTGATCATATCATGTTGTACGAGAGGTATAAACATGTGACATACCCATGGTTGGTTTTGTTTCCAATGAAATATATCAGAATAAATCTTAGTTCACTGAAACACAACGATAAACAATGTCATTTTTTTTTAAACAACTACTTCTAGAATTCGGACCATAAAGGACTCACTCCACTAAAACATTTTAAGCAAATGATTGTACGAATGTAGTCCAGACTATTTTAAGAAATCGTCTTTCTCTCTCTCTGTTGGGGTTTTTGCATGCCTATTTTGGGGTAATTTGGTTTTTTGGAATTTGATGTCTGAAATTGCATTATCTTTAAGATTTGGTGAGATGATGTGAGACCTAAAGGCGGAAGGCTAATTCTAAAAATAGTCGTTTTGTGAACTGCCAAACTCTAGCAGATGAGTATAACCGGTAGTAGTCTACTTTCAATTTTAGTAGCTCAAAATGTTCATGGTCATCGTGTATTGAATTTTTTAGGAGACGTTAAGGATTGGTCAGGCTTTCATTCGACATATTAGAAAGCTTTCAACGAGATTTCTGGAAAAAGTTTTAGAAGGTTGAATTTCGTGTTTTAACATGGGAAGAGATGGCGAATGAATTAGTGGAGTGAGTCCATAACTTTTCAGTGCAATATTTGCCAAGCATTGATGATAATTGATATACGATACTAATTATAGCTACATTTCTCGGCAAGATAGCACCAATAACTTCCTTTCTCTGATCTTCCCGTTTGGGCTAATGACTGTAGCCTTTGTTAATAATCAATGATCACAATGATGTAATATAGTAGTACAGCAAATTTTACTTTCGGTTTTGTTCGAGACAGGCATAGGCTGTCGAGTTAAGTATATTTTGGCAGGCACACTTATGTACTGGAACCTTAAGAAGCGACTAACCGACTCTAGGCTCGATAGTAAGGAAGGTTATTTTTAAAATGTCAAGCTATAACGAACTTCGTCTTATACCTTGAATGTAATAACAAACTTTCTTGAATGCAGCGATTCGATTGGATTGTACGCTAGCACATACAGCCAATCAGAGCCTTGAACCGAAGGACTTTCTGTCGAAGCCTTTGATTGGCTGTATTTGCTAACTTTCATTTACGACCCAATCAAATCCCTGCATTTACAAATTTCTGTGACAAAAGAAAGTTGGCTAATGCAGTCAAGGTGTAAGACAAAGTTCGTAATAGCTCGACTTTGTGAAGATGAGGGAAGGTAGGCTCGCATAAACTTCTAAGCACAACATTCGAACCTGTGGTCTTCGTTAACTAGTTCATTGCCGATAGCGGTCTACGTTAACCTACTACTAAATCATACAAACTTCCTTCTTACTTATGTTTTCATTTTGGTTAATCGGACCTACTCCTTGGTTACAATTATAGACATTTATGTTTAAACCACGTCACAAGTAATTTTAATACATGTTATTGATTTCTATGCACTTAAGATATATCAATAATTCTTTTGTTACATCTGATAGGACAATTAAAAATAGAATATCCTTTCGCATCTTCACAATGCTATTACTAACTTCGTCTTATACCTTTAAAAGGACATTTTTTTGATCAATCAAACTTTAGTCTCAGAAACTGAACGTTTTTTGTTGAGCTGATCAGTAATAGTGTTCACAGCTCCATCAAAATTTTAGCCTTCAAATCCACGTGTGACCAGAATTATCTGCGTTTGAATCTTAATATGACGACTGTGTTATATAGAAAAGACATAGAAATAGTGAGTAAAATTCCTAGTTTGAAATATTTTTAAAAGAATAATGTGACTTTCGTACATTTCTTGTACTTCTGAAGACTATTTACAAATATTCAGGACTAAAATCAACCCCCCTAAAATGACACACCTGGCCCTTTAAATGTTGAAAAATATTGGAATAGTTAATGACCTACCACCTCCACCCCTTGATTTCCAAAATGTAAACCTATGTAACTTGACATGTTTAATGTACCGATACGCAGTGATCAGGAGACGACCCACACTTGAATGACTACACAATACACATAGAAATAGTTAGGGCAATCTGACCTCAGGAAACTTCCATTGCCCCAGAGACCAGATATTTGTGCTAATCGTCATATTTCATAATGAAATTCATATTTTTTTCATTTTTTGTTATATATAGCTTAACTGTCTTATTTCTCAACATTTATATATTTTTCAATGATATAATCTTATACATGTAATTGATATTATAATCTTAAAGGGACAGATGCGCCATTTTGTTTTACCAATCATACTATAGTCTCAAACCGGGAATTGTTTTTAGTTAACTCAAACAGTAATAGTGTTCACAGTTTACTGTAGAAATTTGGTCTTCAAATTCATGTGTTTCCAGAATTATCCGCGTTTGAGTTATAGAAATCCATACATAGAAAAAAGTGAGTTAAATTCATAGTTCTTCGAAGGAATTATGCGATTTTCGTTCATTCCTAGTACTTCTGAAGACTATTTACATATTTTCAAGACTCAAATCAACCCCCCAAAATGGCGCAGTCGTCCCTTTAAGGCAGTCTATTTCTTTATCTACTACAATTAAATTCTTTGTAATGGCGATATTTCAAGTTTATTTTGTTCACCATTGCATGTATTAGTACAAATCGCATGTCACGAAGTTTTTATTCATTTCATTAAATCATAAGTACTTATACATTTCTATGTATTGCATAGAGCTATACCTTACACATGTAAAGAAAAAAACTTTATTGAGTCCTTTCAAAACCCTGTTTCACACAGTCAGTATCTGATAGCTGGTTGGACACGGCATGAGACATAGCCTACAGTTTTATACTATATCTATAACATAACACCATTATAATAGGTTATATACACAATATTCAATCTTCAACGATATTAATAGAGACTATTTTGTAGATTTCGTAAAAGGTGTTACATAAAACTATCTTCTACAGAAGCACTGGCCCAGTCAGGAGTAAGAAGTGAACTAGAAACAAATGAAAATCAAAGCTGGATTTTTAAAAATTGAATTAGTGGGTACAAGGTTTTATAAGAGATACTCTCTATAGAAGCACTGGCCTAGGTCACAAGTAGAGACTCAGCATTGGAATGTATCAATTTGATAGGAAATTACCTACTTATATTTGGATACAGAGCATTTCATACGCTCAACATGTTTTAAACTCTGTTCTACAATAGAGATTTTTGCCAGGACAGCGGCATTAGCATTCTCTCTTTTCAATTTCCAACTGTCGAGGGATCTTTAACGTGCACAGCCTATATCACAGGCCTCGGTTTATTGTCCCATCCGAACAACTTGACGCTTTTTCCAGACGGTGGTGTGCAAGGCGTATTATATTTTTTAAATGTATCACATAGATTATGAGGTACATTACCATTTAAGATTTTAAACAGATAAATATAAAAATTGAAGGTGTGGCGATCGGAAATATTCATAATTTTTAATTTATGAAGTTGAAATAATTTAATGTCGAGATATGAGTCCAAAATCAAAACGTTTAAATTGATGTAGGGCCTACGAACGTTTTACAAGATAAAAGATATAAATTTAGCCTAAATAATGTCATATAGCTCTATGAATAGAAGCTGTGATATAAAACAATATAAATAATTCAACTTCCTACCTTTCTCCACTGCTTACATTATCGTTAATAGAATATAACTTGATAACCTATTCAGCAGATCTTTTTCACAATTCTGATGAGTTAGCTAATCAGTTCTTAGTATTAGTCAATGTGCATAAATTCTAGGAAATAGGACTGGAGCGTAAAATGAAAGTAAAAGTAGAAAGTAGAAGCACGTTCATTGGATAAATTGTTCCTTGATTTGTGTTTTTCACGCCAGTGTTTAATAATAGCTTTGAATCGTTAATTTATCATAACATGCAAACTGAGCTTCATGTATTTCTTTAATCATTATTCAGATAATAATAAAGTAATAATAATAATAATGGAATAATAATAATGATGATATTGATGATGATGATGATGATGATGCTATAATTCTATACAGAATTGTGTCAAGACAAAACAGGAAATGAGACCCATTCCACATTTTATAGGGATTCTGTTGGATTTTGAAAATGCTGATGCTCACGGCTAATATTTACAGGTTTTGTGTTAATTGAAGATTTAAATTTTGCCAATTCTGACATCTCGCAACAATCAAAAACAAAATACAGAAGTTCCTAGAATAAATTGGCCCCTAAAACTTTGTAATTTGGACCAGTGGGCCTACTAAAGATAAATTTCGAAAAATTGGTGCATTTGGAATTACACCTCAATAAATATGTAACTGTTATTTCGGTATAAACACATCTCAATGATTAAATTTCAATATTATATCTGTGTGTGAGCCCCCCCCTCCCCCGTGATCTGCGCCTGTGAAATAATGATGGAATATCTTCGCCAGCTTCCATTTCGAAACCCGAAAACTGATAAAAGAGATTTCGACGCAACGGCTTTCAAGAAAGACATGGCAATTCATTTAACTTTTAACACTGTTTTTAGGACGTCCTAGAGCTAAGATCGTTTCATGGGCGTCGCCATCTTGAATAATCGCCGATTATTTTGTATTTTGGCTGATTCACATTTACATATACATATCAGATTTTCCAGAGCATATACAGCCAATCAAAAAATACATTTACATGTGATTTGTGGGCTAAGAAATAGTTATGACTTTCCTTAAATTTTGACTGATTTTGTTTGGTCTAGTAATTGAAAATGTCGGTTAACTTAGTTCGCGTGTTTTATTTCTATGTTTTTATAAGACACAGTGACATCACAATTAGACATCATCCACCAGTCTCTTAGATTCCATTCCCACCGAATGCACTCAGTCGTTAGTAAAAAAACAAAAAAAAAAACAAACTAGAAACGAAATGAAATGAAAAGTAATGAACGGAAATTGTAAATTGAGAATTTTATCGTTATCAGTCACATTTCAGTTGCAACCTATGGTATGACACGACGCCCAGGAGAGTTTTTTTTTATTTGCATGCATGGAATATTTCTTAAGCAACGGTATACAACCGATAGTCCCGTCGTGAATGCAGTGCTGCTTTGTATACATCTAGATCACAGAATGCCTAAAAAAAGTGACAAAACACTAAGTAACAAAACGTTAAGTGACAGTGACAGAACACTAAGTGACAGTGACAGTAACAGAACACTAAGTGACAGTGACAGAACACTTGGTGACAGTGACAAAACACTAAGTGACAGTGACAGAACACTAAGTGACAAAACACTGAGTGACAGAACACTAAGTGACAAAACAATAAGTGACAAAACACTAATGACAGAACAATAAGTGGCAAAATACTGAGTGACAGAACATTAAGTGACAAAGCACTGAGTGGCAGAACACTGAGTGACAGAACACTAAGTGACAGAACACTGAGTGACAGAGCACTGAGTGACAGAACACTGAGTGACAGAACACTGAGTGACAGTGACAAAACACTGAGTGACAGAACACTAAGTGACAAAACACTGAGTGACAGAACACTTAGTGACAAAGCACTGAGTGGCAGAACACTAAGTGACAGAACACTAAGTGACAGAACACTGAGTGACAGAACACTGAGTGACAGAACACTGAGTGACAGTGACAAAACACTAAGTGACAGAGCACTAATTGCCAAAACACTGAGTGACAGAACACTAAGTGACAAAACACTGAGTGACAGAACACTGAGTGACAAAGCACTGAGTGGCAGAACACTGAGTGACAGAACACTGAGTGACAGAACACTGAGTGACAGAACACTGAGTGACAGAACACTGAGTCGCAGAACACTAAGTGACAGAACACTGAGTGACAAAGCACTAAGTGACAGAACACTAAGTGACAGTGACAAAAAACTGAGTGACAGAACACTAAGTGACAAAACACTGAGTGACAGAACACTAAGTGACAAAGCACTAAGTGACAGAACACTGAGTGACAAAGCACTAAGTGACAGAACACTAAGTGACAGTGACAAAACACTGAGTGACAGAACACTAAGTGACAAAACACTGAGTGACAGAACACTAAGTGACAAAGCACTAAGTTACAGAACACTAAGTGACAAAACACTGAGGGACAGAACACTGAGTGACAGAACACTGAGTGACAGAACACTGATTGACAGAACAGAACACTAAGTGACAAAACACTAAGTGACAAAACACTAAGTGACAGAACACTAAGTGACAGAGCACTAAGTGACAAAACACTAAGTGACAGAACACTAAGTGACAAAACACTGAGTGACAGAACACTGAGTGACAAAACACTGAGTGACAGAACAATGAGTGACAAAACACTAAGTGACAGAACACTGAGTGACAGAACACTGAGTGACAGAACACTGAGTGACAAAACACTAAGTGACAAAACACTGAGTGACAGAACACTGAGTGACAAAACACTAAGTGACAAAACACTGAGTGACAGAACACTGAGTGACAGAACACTAAGTGACAAAACACTAAGTGACAGAGCACTAAGTGACAGAGCACTAAGTGACAAAACACTAAGTGACAGAACACTAAATGACAAAACACTGAGTGACAGAACACTGAGTGACAAAACAATAAGTGACAAAACACTGAGTGACAGAACACTGAGTGACAGAACACTAAGTGACAAAACACTAAGTGACAAAACACTAAGTGACAAAACACAAAATTTCAGTAATCAAAATGTAGCACTTGATCCATCGTTTATCAGAATGTTGCATAGGGAAAATAATTTTTTTTATTGTTTCTTTACCATAGTCTCTATAGGGAAGGAATTAACTAGTCACATCTGGGGAAATCTAAACTTGCATGACAATTAATAAAAATATTTAGTTTTATATCCACGCCTAATATTCACATCTTTTTATTGACTGACCGACCCCAATTTTAATATTAGGGGCCGCTTTCTATACATTGAATGACTTGTATTTCCCGTGAGAAGTCTTTTTCGGAGAACTGAAGCATGTGACAAGATGACTCATTCTCGGTTTCTCGGAACTTCTGTAAAGAGATATTATTTCAAGTAGGGGCAGATATTGTCAATCGTTTTTATGTCCATATAAGAAAAAAATCAAGAAGATTTTCTAAGAAATCTAAACCAAGACAGTACATAACGTGACTATTCATAGAATTCTTTCTCATACTGTGCTGGGTCTCAAATCAGACTGGTTGGTGAATACCTGACTGCCCCATTTGTGTTCTATATCTATCTGAATATTCTACATGTGTATTTTCAACCAGTGTGTTCTGTATCTGAATGTTCAATTTTTAACAAGGACATCTCCAGTGTGTTCTATATCTGAATATTCTATTATTAACTAGGACATCTCTAGTGTATGTTTCAGAAGAATATAATGGCCACAGCTTCAGTGAGTTACATGCCAGCATGTACTATTTGTCTTTCAAGATTCAAGACACCCAAAGTTTTACCGTGTGGACACACCTTTTGTTTGTGGTGTATTGAACAATATATCGGTGATGAAATAGAGAATATTCTCTGTCCTTTTTGTGAACAGAATGTAAAGATTCCAGAAGGTGGGGCTAAGATGTTTCCTATGAACTACACACTAGTGGAAATTATGGTCTTCCTCAACAATGAAGCACAAACATCATCATTAACAATTCAAGCCAAGCACACAAGAGACCAAAATGTCCAAAACACAAACAGGATGAGGTGAATCGTTACTGTAATGATTGTAATATAGGATTGTGTTCAAAGTGTATATTTATAGGACATCATAGTGATCATGAAATACTGGATATAGAATGTGACGAAACACGAAATAAAGCCCTAGAAAACCTTCAACGTTCACAAACAATCATTCAAAACAGAATCAAATACTTAGAGAAAACTCGCTCTTCATTATTAGAATCATTTGAACAACTGAGATCTTTGTGTGATGATTCTTGCACTAAAGTAGATGAAACAAAAGAGTAAATTGTTTTCTAATGTAGGAAAACGTTGTGACCAGATTAAAAAAGACATCAGGAAAAATTTGGAAGAAAATAGGAGTAAAGTAGAGAAAAGAGAAAAGGAAATTACAAGTGATATAAGTATATTAGCAAGTAAAATAGAATCAAATATTTCACCCTCAACAAAAACAACACTAAACATTTTACAGACTTTGTCTGGTTTGATAGAAATAGTAGAACATGGTGAAAGTAGGAAAGATTTTAGTCTGTTTGCACAGTATTTACAGTGGGTGAGGAAGCATTTTAGTTTAGATATAGATCAGTTAGGGTCGGTTATTTCTAAACCATTTTACATACCAGCTTCGTATCAATTTTTGTTTCGTGTTAGCGACATAAAGGATGATCGCCAAGTTTATACCACAAGGAATAGGTTCAGAAACAACAATGTGATATGGAGGTGCAATGTATCGCGAAATCGTGGGGATTTTAAGTGTGGTATTGCACTAATAACAGCAGACAATCCCAAAGTAAACTATTGTATTATTGAAAGTCAAATCAGTTTATTGAATATTCATGATGACAATAAGACTATAACTAGAACATCTGGTGAAATAGTATTGCATCTTGACGACTGGTTGGATTGGACTTTCATCAAATTGTCTAAACTCACTGATAAAAACAATGGTTTTTTAAATTCTGACAATCAGTTTGTGGTACAATATAGTATTACACAGATCATAGAAATATCATTAAAAGTATTGTAAAAAAGTTTTTTTCTAAAAAATGTATGTGTATCGGGGACATAAATATCGATTGAAAGTGAGAATGGAGCAAATTGATGCTATCAGTGTTTCCGATACACATGAAAATTTTTAGAAAACCTCTTTACAATCCCGAATATTACGAATATTATCATTTCTATCAGAATTTAAAACCTATCCCACTATTTCATGCAATCAATGTTCTATTAAGTGATGATTAATTTCATTAAGAGCATATCAATCACGTGACTTTTGACTGACAGTTAGAGTGAGTTTCTTTGTTAGTTATTACTTGTATACTGTGTAAATATGTAATGGGAATTAGCACGCACACCCAGTCCCACTTGTTGTCTCAAATATAACTGCGACCCAATATTAACAGTTCACCAAAAATATGTGACAATCACTGAATTAAGTAAACATGATCATGATTACTATTAATAATATCATAAAATGTCTCTGGGTTCAACGTTTTTTGGACAATGGATTTTTAGACAAATCTATAGCCAGTTGGCCTACTAGATGATGTAATTAACATTACATGCTTATAAACCAAATGAAACATGTGATGCACGTGCAACGTCAATACATAGGCAAAAAAGAAAGCCACTCCCCAATCTGCCCCACCTTAGTCAATCATGTTATCAATAATTTATAGCATTTTTTCTCATTCGTTAAAAGACGGACTCGGTGCATCGTGTCCAGACCACGCCCAAATTCAAATACAACGTCAAAACCCATATTCGTGATACGATGGGCTCAGTGTTAAATTCTGTTGAACTCATGAAAGCTATAAATATAGAATTATGATATTTTACTTAAACCTTATTGGAAGAGTTCTATACTGTTGTTTTAACTATCATATCCTCTGTATAATACATAGTGTACAGACCTAGATATTACTACAAACATACGTCTCAAACACCATTAGCAGTTACAAATGAAGAGTTCTTGCTTCTGGCCTTGGTCTAAGTTTTTCACGAGTTACACCAGTTGGCAATGTAAAGGGAGGCAACTACAGATAACGGATTAATTAAAGAACGAAACTGTTGATTACAGTGACGGCGCCAGCATCTCGAGACTAGGGTACAAATAGGGGACAGAATGAAAGTTGAAATTCAAAATGCGACAGCCCTGTGGAAACGCTAAATTTGAAAAATAGAATTCAGTAGTTTTAACTAAAAAGATCCAGCCATTTTAATTTTTAAACACCAAAACTATTTAAAAACATTACGTAAAGTTTTTAAGTTTGTGACGCTTTTTGGAAGCTGTTAGAAAACTACTGTATGTGTAAAATAAACGTCTAATTCTAGAGAAATATGTCTCCTACGCTTTCTAAAGGTTTTTAATAATAATATCGAGCAATTATAAAGCCAAACACCAAAACTAAATCAAACTCCTTAATTAACAATTAATACTCTTAGTTTTTAATTAACCCTTTTAAAACAAATCAATTTGATAAAGAAGATTCATAGATATAAAAAGCATACTTTAGAAATATTTTCATGTATAATTTACAATGTTTTTGATAATGAAGACTTTTTAACAAAAAGCTGAAAACCCTTTAAATTAGTAGAAATAAAGTGGTGGTACAAATAATTTTACCAAGGGACAAATTCCCCAAATTGACAGTTATCTATTTATCATTTAAAAGGATTCGAAAGCAAGTTATCTCAGTTCTCGGAGTATATCACGAGTCTAACTTTGTATTGGTTCCTTTTTCATTCTCACCATTGAGTGTCACTTGTATATCCCCATCTAGAAGCTGACGGTCTCTGTGCAACATATCATGGTAACGAATGGAAGACATCTTTTACCGGAACATATCAATATTGTCACGTGATTCTGGTTATTTAAATATTAGAAATATTCAGGACTAGGCTACAAGTGTTTGTAAAAAAGGTCAATGAAAACAAACCAGGAACCGGTATCATATTGTTTGTTGAAAACAAAATAAAAACTGATACGCATTAAGGAGAGAAAGGGAAACGACGGATGCTGGAGAAAAATGTAAACATTTTATATAATAATTGGCTGTAATTGTTCATATGTTATTATTCGTTAAATAGAATACAACATTCACATTGCCCCCTCCCCTCCCCTCCCCCATTTGCTTTTTACACATATTTACCATAAGATATGTGCTAGAATGCATCAACAAAATTTCAAGGGGAAAACCGCCAGGGACGTTATAGGAGGCATGCTCCTATGACGCATCCACATAGCTGCGCCATTTGTCAACCTGAACAGTTGATCCCTCGATGAGTCAGTCTGCTCCAATTTGTACACAAAGTCTTGGAAGGCTTGGAACTGTCTGTTGGTTCACGATCCTCTAGAACAGGTGTTTTCAACCCTTTTCTTTCTATTAACCCTTTCAGGATCCTGATCGATTGCATTACCTCCCTTCCCCCAATAAAACCTTACAATTTTCATGTCTGAGAATATAGTCTGACTGAATAGAACACCTTAGATTATAATTCCCCCCCCCCCCCCCTCCAAAATTTCAAAATTACCTTTAGATGGAAAATCTGCTCTATCAAAGGAGTGCGTGACGCCTATCATATCGTATTGATAAACGCCTTTTGCTGAACTGTGAGCACCCTACTTAGCATATGAAATTGTGTCGTGTTACAACAGAGCGACTCTTTCAAGACTGTCCATCCGTCTCTCTGTCCTTTACCATCACTGTCAATCACCGTGTATTCCAGTCCATTACGGTAAATTAATATTGTGTAATGATGTAACAGACTGACATGTTATTGTTCTGATGGATCACCCCCTAATCTTATAAAACATGGCGACCAGGTTGACATCTTCATATTGTATCTTTATTCTTCAATCACAAGGTAAGTATTTTTTTTTTTTATTTCTCCATGGTCATGGTTCGCCATTTTCGGTGGTTGAATTGGGACTAGAATATAAGTAAGTCGCTGATAGTCGTTGTGGTGAAGCCATTTCATATTTGTCCACTATTTGCATTGCAATTTGCACAAATATTTGTCAATTTTCTACTTATGATTTAACTTCATCCACATAAGGCAATGTTTCGACAACATTACACTAGTGAAACAATGTTTTTATCTATTATTTGTCTAGTTCAGAATGAAGTTAAGTATCATCAGCTCCCTGGCGGTGGTGTTCCTGTCACAGTCAGCATTCTCCCAGAGTAAGTCCAGACGATTTCGAAGTAATTCACGGGAATTTTTTAGGTGTTTTTGCATGGGTCATAATAGTAGTCCGATTTCCTGTACAATCATTTCACTTTATTGTCGTATGTGACAGACAGTGTATTTTTGAGATTTTTGAAAGGTAGAAATATGTAAGCTAATGCTATTATCCTGGCAAAAATCTTTTAACTGCACGACGTTACCCATGTTCATTGTTATTTTAGGCAAATGTATTCCACTAAAATGAGTTTTATTCTAAGCCAAAAAAACGGAAGAGTTTCATGTATTTTTTTAGCCAAATGTTCAAGAACAGAATGGTAGGGCGCAAGATAATTTTTTCTTATTTTTTATTTCAGCATGTCTTCTGCCAATGGATAGTGGTGCTTGTACAGACTCTCAAACTAAGTACTATTATAATGAGGTCAAAGACCAATGCGAGGTATTTAGCTACAGTGGATGCGGTGGAAACGCCAATAAATTCGACACGTTAGCAGAATGTGAGGCCATGTGTGTCTTATCTTATCCACTTACTGATGTTTCTGCATTGAACCAAGCTGTGGACCCTTTAGTTGGTACAGTTGATCACATTCCCGACCACTCTCATCACCCAATTGACTCTCACCTACCAATTGACGCCCACCACCCACTTGACGCCCACCATCCACTTGATTCCCACCACCCAGCTGACTATCTTCATCCAGCTGACATTGACTACTACGTCTTTGGAGGTAGATCAGGTCGTAGGTTTGATAGACGAAACAGGAAGGGCCTCCGAGATTATTACAGAGATGTCATATACAGCGGTATAAACGGTAGACGCAGTGACTTATTTGACATTATCAGAAGAGACAACCGTAATAACAGAAGAAATATCAGGAGAAACACTCGCCCAATGCGCAAGATTCTTAGAGCTCTTCGTTTGGATAACCGCAGGAATAGGAAAAGAGTTAATCGTAATAGAAAAAACAAACCTCTTCAAATCATCTACAGAAGCGATTAGATCACAAAGCGTCGCCTCGGATTGAACAAAATCAATCTCATGAGATTTCAATTTCGCTTTTTTCTGATATTTTCGTCTCAAATGTAATCTAACAAGTTTTCTTTCACAGTCGGGTTTAATGAAAGTATTTTGAACCCATCAAAAGACTGTTATGTAGAACCCGTTTCCTAATAAGATAACAAAATGTGGGATATAGAAACTAAAAGTAGAGCAGTATGGCAGCCTTCTGATTGCCATATATTTTTACTTTTATTGTTAAAGATTATTTTTTATTATAAATGTGAACCCGGTATTGTAATTAATGACAATATTAAAGATTAGATTTTTAACTAATAAATTTGTTATTCATGGTTATTGATCTATTTACCAGCATTTGAGGCTGGGTGGACCACAGTTGATCCCCTAGGCTTTGAGTATTCGACAATCTCGGCAGTTTCCGTAAGCTGAATCTGACATGATGAATGGTGAATTCCGTTGTGTTTCCTTGGGCAAAACTCTTTACTTACTGAATTTAGCAGTGATTTGTCAATTGATAGTAATATTGCGACCTAATTATAGTCCTTAAATTAGGAGACTTTGGGAGATAACAGATACATTTAATGCTACATTTTGACAATTAGTTATCTAATGATACATCTTAATATCAGTTTGAATACATATCTTACGGATGTTTCATTGACTTTGTTTACACACACTTGTAGTCGTGAACGACCAGCCTCTAATATTTAAATTACCAGAATCACGTGACAATATTGACATATAAAAATATGTAAACCTTGTAAGACATTTAGAAGTATCACAGCACATTAAGAAACAACAGTTTTTTTTTTATGGATATAGACTTCTATTTATTATTAAAACACAATGTTTCATTACACATACAGGTAACGTTATCCAGTGATAATGTTACCTGTATGTGTAATGAAACGTTGTGTACAATAATAAATAGATGTCTACATCCATATAAACTGTTGTTTCTTAAAAATATATAACTATATCTACATATCCAACGTATTAGCCCTGTAAAGTACACACACGTCAATTTTTCGTTCAGTCATGCCTGAGTTGGTGATAATTAAAGTTTTTAATTAAAAATTAATTTTTACCTAGGTGATCATTAATTTTCGCCTAGGTAAAAATTAATGTTTTTAATTCAAAATTAAAAGTGAAATATGTCGTATGTGAGCTACCATACATTATGGCTACGGAACACATCAATTGCTATCCATACGAAGCAAAGAACGGAAATTTGTGTTAAGAAACTATGTTACGAAACATACTACCATTGATGGTCATTTCACAAGTAATTTGTTTTTAAGTTATTGTTACGTATCATCTTATGTTATTGAACTGAAATGAAAAAATTAAACTATCGGGATTCTTCATTACTTATTGGCCCTGTAAAGTACCACACACGTCAATCACGTGACGTTAGATAAGATACAGTTAATTTCAGAAAAAAAACTTCGTTTGATGCCTTGACATTGTTAGACAGTTTTCCTGTACCACGGAATGCAGCGAATTGATTGGATTAGAAGCTGGCGACGCAGTTAACCCTTTATATAATATCCTTTTCCATCGCTGGCCATAAACTGTCAGAGTAAATCACCTCGTTATTCAGAGGCAGAAGTAGGAAAGACTTGGTTGTTCGGAGGGGCAAGATATACATCATGGACAATGGAGTACAGTGTTCGGTGATGTTGGTTGTCGACCGGTAGCGAAATTGTTTCGCAGGTAAATCCATTTTTCGGAAAGGGGGGGAGGATGTCCTCCTGTAGTTACGGGGACTTCAAAGCTGTTTTCTACACGAAAACCAAAAATAAAGTTACTGGAAACTAGCCAAACTGCCATCTATATATGAGTGATATTAATTACACTTACAGACGGACGTGTATACATGGGGAAATTTTTTTGATGTAGAGAGTGGACGTTGTATTGCAGGAAACACAGCTAGACATCTGATTGAAAATTGGAATGGTACAAACTGATGCCATCAGTGTCATCCGAAACATATAAATAATTTAGAAAAACCTGTTTACAATTCCTACAACTAAATCAAGCAGACGACAAAATAAAACCGAGCAACTATAATATGTGAAAAAATATTCTAAAATATGAACAAGATATATGTATAACTCCACTATGTATAGGTTAATGGTCGAAAGCATGCCATTAAGGTAAAAAATAATGATCGTTGGACGAGGACCGAGTACTACGTCATTATTAGACGTATTGACAGGCTTGAGATCATTAACCAAATTAAAATACAGTTTACAAACAATTACATCTACTCAGGCACGTGCTATCATATGAGATCCAATCACATGCCTAACAATACAGGCAATCTTTCAAAATGTCCGGTCAGGGAAAAAAAATATACCTGTTGGAGTTACATACTTATTATGGCCTTATTGCTGTGTCGTTCATTTCATTATAAATAATATGGATATGGATTAAAATGGATATTTTATTTATTTCATTTCGTATATCTGGACTGTGATTCATGGATAACAATTTAAATGTATATGTATGTCTATAGGCCAGTTTTTTTCCCTTCCCTTTAAGACTCATTCAATTATTTCAAAATAGAGTAGTGAGGATTTCATTGACTGAGGGGTCATCCCCTCGGTTCCCCTTTCTGGATCTAATAGGGCACTATTGTTTGGGATCCCTTGTAAAATATATCTTATCTAGGAAAGTGGAGAATACATCCAACGCAATTTTGGAACTATCATGGCTTTTACGGCATGTTTAGTGATTTACTTACACTTTGCATTGTTAAATTTCATTAGCAATTTGTGATAAGGATGACCGAGTTGTCAGAAGTCTTATTCCCTTGGCTGTATCAAATTTGAAAAATGAGTGTTGTTTATGAAGAGATTTTAGTGCTTAATTTCTGACAAAATAAGAATAATATTCTAATTCTAACCTGTAAGCAATCTACTTATAGGGCTTCACCGATGAATGGATGAACCGCAATTCATTCCTATTTATCGATGCATTGCGTTGGATAAATAAAATCCTTATTTATCGGCACGATTAATTCTTAGCCCCCTTTAATAACAAATCACACAGAATCCTTGTGTATATAAGGAATTGTGTCATTTTGTGATTTTCACATCAAAATTTATTTCTGACTTTACAAATTTTTTTTTAGAATTCCTTACTTCTAAATGTTCTCAAGTAATAGCTACTTGTTAGTAGTTTTACAAATTTCTACTATTTTTTTCTCTTTCCTTCTCAAATAAATGAATCGTGATTATTATTGCAATAAATCGTATCGTTGGATGAGTATCGTATAGTGTCTCGAATCACAACTTCTAGAATATATTCTGAATATACTATAATTTGTTGTGTTCTGTCCGTCTGTCTGTCCTGTTCTGTCCCATCACTCTCAATCATCGTGTATTCCAGTCCATTACGGTTAATTAATATTGTGTAATGATGTAACAGACTGACATGTTATTGTTCTGATGGATCACCCCCTAATCTTATAAAACATGGCGACCAGGTCCACATCATATTGTATCTTCATTTTTCCATCACAAGGTAAGTATTTTTTCTTTTTTATCGCTGTAATATATATCTCGTTTGCCATGGTTTGCAATTTTCGGTGGTTGAATTGGGCCTAGAATATTTGTATGTTGTCTTCAGAAGTACTTTAGAAGAAGGTATCTTCATTCTACAACCACAAATATTTCTCTATAATGTTTTTAAGACACGGTACCTATTCACGAAAAAAGGGTTCGGAATATCTTGATTGAAATCTAGAAGACCGACATCTATCGTGAAGCTGATCGACGCCCAGTGAACGAGGAGTTGCAAAGGGGTGGGTGGGGGTGCAATAAGCCAAGCTTATCAATAATAGTGACCACACCGTCGAAATGTGTGCCTTCAAATTCGTCTGTATCCAGAACTATCCGCGTTTGAAGGTAAAGAGAATTGACAACAATAATACATATAAAGTAAAGACATATATATAGAAAAAGAAGATGAAATTCCTAGTTTGTGGTATATTGGTAGGAATTGCGATATTTCCGTACATTTCTAGACCTTTTAAAGACTGTTCACGTATATTCAAGACTCAAATCTCGCCTAAAAATGACGATAATCAAAAGAGAAATACACAGTAAGCGCTTACTCTTTCCCTTCTTTTCCTTGCTACATTATCACAGATATGGATTCGTGTCAAGTCTACCTCAATGATTCTGTTAATTTAATATTATGATCTTAGTGCATTTTTCGTAGGTTGAAGGCTTTAAAGCCCCCAATGATCAGACTTGAATCTGTGGCAGGCAGAGAGGGCATCGGGCAAAGCCGTAAGCCTCATTTCCTGTCAGCTGTCTATGAAATAGATTTTTATCTATTATTTTTATATTACAGAATGAAGTTAAGTATCATCAGCTCCCTGGCAGTGGTGTTTCTGTCACAGTTAGCATTCTCACAGAGTAAGTTAATTTCTAAAAAAATTAAGTGTATTAGAGTGTACCGGAGTGTACCGGGATGTACCGGAGAAAAACGAAGGGCATTTCTCACTGTGGCTAAACATTCGAATTGTTTCTTTTTTACAATTATGTATTTCATGCCACTACGACACCAATTTCATACGAAATATGTGTTGTTCTTGCGTAGAAATAACAAATTCTGTTAACAAGGTCAGTCAAATGCGTAGTTTTGTATGATCCCCTTTTGCCGTACATTATCTCGAATCGCATTGCAACGTTGCTTTTGGTATAGCCTTTGTATTTCCAAGTTCCTTGGTACGATGATTACACACATCTTACACATCATTCCTTCTCCGTCTAATTTCAGAATGTCTTCTGTCAGTGGACTTTGGTGATTGTACAGATTCCAAAACTAAATATTATTATAACAAAGATAAAAACCACTGCGAAGCATTCAGCTATAGAGGATGTGGTGGAAACGCTAATAAATTCGACTCGTTAACAGAATGTGAATCAACATGTGTCCTGACATTGAAAGATGGACATAAAATTAATGCTGCTCCGTCTGGAAGTAACACAGATCCATCCAAGACAGCTCATCATTCTGTGCCCTCTCACCATGTACCAGAAATCCACGCTGCCCTATCACAACGGAACAACATTCGAGCTCGGGATAACAATGGACGCAATGACGAACCCCGTCACTTTGTTGACTCTCACCGCACGGTTGACAGTCACCGCACAATTGATACTCACCGCCCAGTTGACAGCCACCGCACAGTTGATACCCACTACACAGTTGATACTCACCGCCCTGTTGATGCCCATCGGCAGGTTGACACCCACCACCTAGTCGACTCTCAACGCCCAGTTGACGCCCATCGGCAGGTTGACTCGCACCACCTAGTAGACTCTCATCGCCCTGTTGACTCTCTGCGCCTTGTTGACACCCATCGACAGGTTGACTCGCACCACCTAGTCGACTCTCACCGCCCTGTTGACACCCACCGACAGGTTGACAAACACATCCCAATGGACCCTCCTAACATTGTTGACTCCCTCCATTCAGTTGACTATCAACGAACAGTTGACTCCCACCGTCCCGTGGACACCCATGGCATGATTGAAACCCACCATCCTATTGATTCCCAGCGTCCCGTTGACGCCTATCACCTAGTTGACACCCACGGACCAGTTGACTCTCATCGCCAGGTTGACACACACGTCCCAATGGACACTCATAACATAGTTGACTATCAACGGCCAGTTGACTTTCACCACCCAAATGACTTCCATCGCTCACGCGACTCTCACCGCCGAGCTGACTCCCGCATGGACTACGTCTTTGAAGGCAGACCAGGTCGTAGAGGAGGAGACGGCTACAGATCTCGAGATAGTGGGTTTCAATCCAGCGACAACTACCGTAGGTTTGATAGAAGAGACAGAAATAGATATCGAGACACCCCTGATCGATTTAGACAGGTCGCAAACGACCATTTCAGAGGGGACGTCATATACCGCGGTAGAAACGATAGGCGCAGTGATGGGTACGACTCCTTCAGAAGCGACAATCGGGATTTTAATAGAAAAAATAGAAGAAATGATAACTCAAGACGCAGGGATCGAAACATCAGACGTAGAGACAGGAAGGGAAATAGAAATAGCAGTCATTCCAGAAAAAATAAACAAAGTCGCAACAACAGAGGCGATTAGATAACAATTCACAGGAGTGGATAGATCAACAATTTTAAAAGCATCATTTAAGGACCATGCTTCCCGTAAACCATTTCAAAATTTCACCGAGAATGATCACTAGTTAAAAATGAGTCTCAATTTGCGACGAGATACATGAACAGATATGTGCTGAAATTCATTTGAAATCTAACACATTAGATATATTGTTTTTGAATTTATAACAATTGTTTTTACATTCTTATTAATCCGTTAAATTATTCAACCAACAAGCTAGCAGATTATACCTAGTACATTACAGTGTTCTGTTGCTAGAATGTAGCTTCATAGTAACCGAGTGAAGGATATTTTTACGAGTATTAAAGATTATTTTTTATTATAACATTAAAACGTGGTATTGTATATATTACCATTAAAAGAGTATTTTTGTAAGGTGTTGTAACTTTCTGTTCAGCTACAGAACAGTTTCTGGAAACAGCGGTAGCGTGGTTGGGTTTGCAGAAGGGGGAGAGGGGGGATGTGTTTATTTGAATTATGTTATAAATCTTTCATACCATCAAGCATTAGAGACTAGAACAACCTCTCTAGTTACTTAAAAAATTCAATCACTATAAAATCATTTAAAGCGCCCCCCCTCCCTCAATGACAAACACTCGATTTAGCGATCTCAGAGTCTTGTATGTTGGTCGAGCACGCGCTACGATTTCATTGACGAGTTCTCAGAGCAGAACAATAACTTGAGGATAATGCTGTTGAAAAAAAAAATGTAGTTGATTATAAAAGTGGGTTTACTGGAAATTAGGACATTGGGAAATTGGATTTGAGGTACATGTGATCTTCGTCATCATCATCAATGTAATCCTGGTCAATATGAAGGTCATATTGATATTGTCCTAAAGAAATACCTCTTTTCTAAATAACAATGGTATACATCGAATCCATCTGTTGGCAACAGATTGATTTGGGAGAATGGAACCCACGATACAGATATGAAGTTGAAACTTAAATTGTGTGATTCATTTTGCTGTATGAACAATAAACATATCACAGTTTATTATAAGTGAGTTACTATTTTCATGTTTAGGATACGATACAATATTGATACCAGTAGTATTAAAGGTTTTGTAAAGAGCTTTTCTAAACTTTTTTTTATGTGAATCGGGGTATTTCTATATCCCTCTACAATTGATGTATTGAGTACTATGTTAACAGTGGTATTTCTATATCTCTCTACAATTGATGTATTGAGTACTATTTTAACAGTGGTATTTCTATATCACTCTACGATTGATGAATTGAGTACTATTTTAACAGTGGTATTTCTATATCACTCTACAATTGATGTATTGAGTACTATGTTAACAGTGGTATTTCTATATCTCTCTACAATTGATGTATTGAGTACTATTTTAACAGTGGTATTTCTATATCACTCTACGATTGATGAATTGAGTACTATTTTAACAGTGGTATTTCTATATCACTCTACAATTGATGTATTGAGTACTATGTTAACAGTGGTATTTCTATATAGCTCTACAATTGATGTATTGAGTACTATTTTAACAGTGGTATTTCTATATCACTCTACAATTGATGTATTGAGTACTATGTTAACAGTGGTATTTCTATATAGCTCTACAATTGATGTATTGAGTACTATGTTAACAGTGGTATTTCTATATCACTCTACAATTGATGTATTGAATTCTATTTTAACAGTGGTATTTCTATATCACTCTGCAATTGTACTGAGCACTATTTTAACAGTGGTATTTCTATATCGCACTACAATTGATGTATTGAGTACTATTTTAACAGTAGTATTTCTTTTTCACTCTACAATTGATGTATTGCGCACTATTTCAACAGTGGTATTTCTATACACTCTACAATTGATGTATTGAGTACTATTTTAACAGTGGTATTTCTATATCGCACTACAATTGATATATTGAGTACTATTTTAACAGTAGTATTTCTTTTTCACTCTACAATTGGTGTATTGAGCACTATTTTAACAGTGGTATTTCTATATCACTCTACAATTGATGTATTGAACACTATTTTAACAGTGGTATTTCTATATCGCTCTACAATTGATGTATTGAGTACTATTTTAACAGTGGTATTTCTATATCGCTCTACAATTGATGTATTGAGTACTATTTTAACAGTGGTATTTCTATATTGCTCTACAATTGATGTATTGAGTACTATTTTAACAGTGGTATTTCTATATCGCTCTACAATTGATGTATTGAGTACTATTTTAACAGTGGTATTTCTATATCGCTCTACAATTGATGTATTGAGTACTATTTCAACAGTGGTATTTCTATATTACTCTACAATTGATGTATTGGGTACTATTTTAAGAGTGGTATTTATATATCGCTCTCTGGTTGCAGAGGGGGCAGCCTCGAAAGCAAGTTTTAAGGGCAAAAACTTCAGAACTAGGTTAGAAATTCGAGCAATCTCCGACATTTTTTTGTGTTGTTGTCCATTTTATATCTTTAGACTGATGAAATTAATTAAAAATTGATCTTTTGATAATTAGCAAATTACCAATAAACAATACTCTCTATTAATCTCACCTGTATGTGAAACCATGTGGACTCACTCCACTAAAACATTTTATGCAAATGATTGGAATGTAGTCAAGGCTTTTTTTAGAAATCTTCTTTCTCTCTCCATTTTGAGGTTTTTGCATGTCTATTTTTGGGTAATTTTTGGAATTTGATGTCTGAAATTGCATTATCTTTAAGATTTGGTGAGATGATGAGAGACCTAAAGGCGGAAGGCTAATTCTAAAAATAGTCCTTTTGTGAAGTGCCAAACTCTAGCGGATGAGTATAACCGGTAGTAGTCTACTTTCAATTTTAATAGCTCGAAATTTTCATGGTCATCATATATTGAATTTTTTAGGAGACATTGAGAATTAGTCAGGCTTTCATTCGACATGTTGGAAAGCTTTCAACGAGATTTCTGGAAAAAGTTGTAGAAGGCCGAATTTCGTGTTTTAACAATGGGAAGAGATAGCAAATGAATTAGTGGAGTGAGTCCATGTGATGTTTATACAAGGGCGTTAATGATAACTGTACTGGTTGCTTTTATGATTCATTTGGACTCACTCCACTAAAACATTTTATAGTCCAGGCTATTTTTAGAAATCTTTTTTCTCTCTCCCTTTTAGGGTTTTTGCATGCCTATTTTTGGGTAAAATTTGGTCTAGGTTTGGAATTTGATGTCTGAAATTGCATTATCTTTCAGATTTGGTGAGATGATGTGAGACCTAAAGGTGGAAAGTTAATTCTAAAAATAGTCGTTTTGTGAAGTGCCAAACTCTAGCGGATGAGTATAACCGGTAGTAGTCTACTTTCAATTTTAGTAGCTCAAAATTTTCATGGTCATCATATAATGAATTTTTTAGGAGACATTGAGAATTGGTCAGGCTTTCATTCGACATATTAAAAAAGCTTTCAACGAGATTTCTGGAAAAAGTTATAGAAGGTTGAATTTCGTGTTTTAACATGGGAAGAGATAGCAAATGAGTTAGTGGAGTGAGTCCATTTGCTTACATGGGAGTGTAAATACATGGTCGCTGGTCGCTTAATGGAGGTAGTCTCCTAACAGTCGTTAGTTACATTGAAAAGTTGTAAGGGTGGACTTTATTGTGGTCGCATGTTGAAGGTGATTGTTTAATAAAGGAGGTCGCATGAACAAGATACAAAATTTTCACTTTTACACGTCATGTTGGTATTAGCTTACATTGTTTGTCCGGATTCTGTTTAAAGTTCGCCTCCGATATAGATAGTAAGCACATTTACCACACTGAGAGTCTTTGCATTTCCCCACTTGGAAATGTTTTTTTTTTCTCTCTGTTGGGTCAAATTTGTCACGGGTCAATAGACGTTTTATTTTGTTCGCTTACCGTTTGTCTTGTATCAAGTTTCTTGATTTATTAAGAATATTAAAACAGAACATACAAAACATGTGATTGTTACTCACGCTATGCGATCTTCAGACAACTGACCCTTTTTTCAGCCCGTGTTCCTCCTGAAGTTGGACAAGTAGAACTTATTATCAAATCTACATGGAGACAATTTCAGAACCGGGTGGAAATTAGGGAGATATATAATGATGGATTTATAATAATCAATGTATCTCAATGAAACATTTCCCATAAATTCCCATTAGTAGGCTATCCTTTCTAGACATTTTGTAGAGCGGGGGTTTTCCCTGTGCAAGAATATATATCAATACGTTCGCTTAGTGGATTATTCATGTTTTGGGATCAGATTTGTTGTCTGTAAATGATCATTGTATAGCATGAAACCCCGAGTAAAAACATATCCGTAGAAATATAAAGTGAAATTAAAGTACTTTGATCATTCAATATGCTCTCTGTAAAATACTGCACATTAGAATAAGTAATGAAACTCGTCGCTTATATAATCAGTATTTCACAGCACGTCCATCTTTCAATAAACATTTATTTACTCTGATATATATAGAAAAGACATATACAGAAACAGAAAGTAAAATTCCTAGTGTGAGGTATTTTTGACACTATGCAATTTTCGTATATGTCTAGTACTTCTGAAAACTATCCCCAAAAATTGTGAATTTGTCCCAGTTCATACCAGCTGGGTGCTACAGAATCGAACTCCAGTCTCTGACCTTCTATTGCTATAGATGAAATATTTCTTGTTTTTGAATGATGGAAAATGCTTGTTACAAACCCCAAATGTGTAAAAAAAAAAAGACAAATCTTTAAACTGATAATTTTATTCAAATCGTCAATTTAATCTTAATAGTCACTACTCAGACCACGTGACTTTATGGTGTATTAACGAAATCAAAACCAGATTTCTCTATAACGGCACCTGATTTATCGTTAACTACCTCCAATCCATCTGTATTATTTATTGTGGTGAGGTCAGTATTGTATAAAAAGCAAACTTTTAAGGGATAAATATAGTGCATTGTCAAACATCTTGGTTCTTCATTACATTTTTGGATGCATTTCGGAAGATTTGGAATGTGTTTATAGAAGTAGATAACTGGTTTTCTATATAACTTGCATCCACAATCGATTGTTTGACCATAGCCACACATGGGTTCTTCGGCACATTCTTTTGTACAATTCGTTCCAGATAGTTCTTTCAGTTTATTGCCTTTCACTACTACATTAAGTACCACTGAAATATAAACCGTATTGTTATTGCAATAGTTTATAGAGGACAGAATTCGTTAAGAAAGAACCATTACAGGCCTGACAAATTTAGATGACTTGAATGACTTGTTGAGTCGCTATAGTTGAACCGCCCTTAAAAACAATTGGTTAACCAATTATCACTATGAATTCATTGACTTTGTTTACCAACACTTGAAGTCATGAACGACCAGCCTCTGGTTTTTTAATTACCAGAATCACGTGATCACGTGATCACGTGACAATATTGGCAAAGTTCCGGTAAAAGAAATGGTCAATCATTACCGTGTTATGTTGCATAGCGCAAGCTTAACTTTCACGGAGGCCGTTTGTGTTCTTTATTGAACTTTTGGCTACGTGCAATCTTGCTGATTGGTTGGTTAAAAAATTGCGTGAAATCCTTAATCGTTTTTACATCATTTATTAAAACAACGTTTATCTGCTAAAGTGAAACACAGTATTAATATGTAATAGTTTCAGGCTTTTTGAAAACACGATTTGGTTCGTATCTTGTAAAATATAGTGACAACATAACACGATTCCTTTATGTTTTAAATTGTCACTGGATCTCTCAAATATCTTCGTACGTATTCACAATAGAAATCCAAAACCCGTTACCTTGACAAGCTTTCTGTTCGGTCCAAGTACCATTTTCCTCACACCCCAGAGTACCAGTTTCAACGAAGCCAGCTAAGCACCTAAACTTAAAAAGTCCTCCAACAGTACTGGATTCTGTTACATCATCAGAGAGAGTGATATTCTCACCTTGTGGACATTCTACAGCTAAAATGTTAAAATGAATTTGTCAGTAGAATGGCGTGGTAGAGTTGGGTGAAATTATTCTAAAGGAAGATAGTTTATATGGCAAGTGATTACACCCACTTACAGCATTTCAAGCATTATAAGATAAGGCCTCTAAACACCAAGTAATGTAGGATTGTAGGTCAACTGATAGCTTGTCAGGAAAGGTCAAAATACCATTCCAGTCATAAGTCTAATTAAAATTGAGAAAATGTCGATTGAAATGAAAATAACATAGTGAGAATAAACATTTATTATTTAACCCAATACAATAGAGAGACTAAATTTGACTGAACTATTATCAAACTATACTGAAAGAATTCTTCAGTTCAAGGGAAGTAACTCATGATATTTATGTAACTGAAGACATAAGAATTAAAAGATATATATTTTTGACGTTTTCTTAAAGCTGGCAATAAAATACAGAATTTGTTTTTTTTAGATAATTCAACATCTTAGAAACTGTTACCTTGACAAGCTTTCTGTTCTATCCAGGTACCATTTTCATCACACCTCAGACTACCCGTCACACCATTCTGAGTGAAGCCAACTGAACAGTCAAAACGGAAATCTTCATTAAATTTTCTGGATTCTGTTACAACATCAGAGTTAGTGATAATGTCACCTTGTGGACACTCTACAGCTGATATAATAAAATATATTGATCAGACAATACCCAGAGAGTAAAGTGAAATCAAAATATGACAGTCGACATGCACCAATCACCAGTATGAAATATTCAACCTTCAGTCATACACTTCTTTTAAACTCTTTAGAACGATACTGAATGATATTGAGTATGAGTTATTGCCCTTGTTCTTGAAAAGGTGTTCAATCTTTAGCTCGGGGAAACTCTAGAAGACAAATATTCAATCTTCCAGCGTTACTGAATAATAAAACCAAGTTTTGTCAAAATCCAGCAAGAATCATGCCTTCTAGATTTTTTAAGAGCTACAAATTGAACGCGTTTTCGAGAACAAGGGCAATAACTCATACTTAATATTTTTCGATTTTCTGATTTTCAATAGGGTTTATCCATGAGTGATAACCAACGCTCATGCCAAGTTTCGTCAAAATCTGCCAAGAATTGTGCCTTCTAGAGTGTTTAAAACCTAAAATTGAACGCGTTTTCAAGAACAAGGGCAATAACTTATACTAATTATTTCCAATTTTTCTGATTTTAAATAGGGTTCATCCTTGGGTGATTACAAACAACCATACCAAGTTTCGTCAAAATCTGTCAAGAATTGTGCCTTCTAGAATGTTTAAAAGCTAAAATTGAACGCGTTTTCAAGAACAAGGGCAATAATTCATACTAATTATTTTCGATATTTCTGATTTTAAATAGGGTTCATCCTTGGATGATTACAAACAACCATACAAGCAATTATGGACGGACGGAAATGGGTGACGGCAATATACGCCCCTCATTTCAGGCGGGCGTATAAAAATGGGACAGTCGACATGCACCAATTCAAATTCGGTCTACACTAAGAAAGGCATCCTAGATTATCAAAGATAAATGTCAGAGTCAGATGTCTTCAGAAAATGTAAGCAATCTCTGTCTCTTGCACAAAACCCTTTAAAAAAACATCTTTGATTTTAGAGACAAGACTCTATACTCTGAATATCAGAGTTAGCAAACTTTACGTAGTGTGTTGTATTTTCTACTGAACGAGACCTGTCAAATCAGTAGTTAACTAAAGGCAAGAGAAAGTTTTTTAGTGTTAGAAACTGTTACCTTGACAAGCTTTCTGTTCTATCCAGGTACCATTTTCATCACACCTCAGCATACCCGTCTCACCATTCTGAGTGAAGCCAACTGAACAGTCAAAACTGAAATCTTCATTTATTGGACTGGATTCTGTTACAACATCAGAGTTAGTGATAATCTCACCTTGTGGACACTCTAAAGCTGATATAATAAAATATACTGATCAAACAATACCCAGAGAGTAAAGTGAAATCAAAATGGGACAGTCAACATGCACCAATTCAAATTCAGTCCACACTAAGAAAGTATAACAAAACACAAGACAATATTATGGAATATAGCGTCATCTGAAGACGACACGTGTATATTGTGTTGAAACATTATGTGCCCAACCTTCTTAAAGAAGTGTGTTATATTCCATACTATTGTCTTGTGTTTTGTTATATGTGCTCCTCGCTTCTATATGTCGTTCAAACCTTACACACTAAGAAAGGTATCCTAGATTATCAAAGATAAATGTCAGAGTCAGGTGTCTTCAGAAAATGTAAGCAATCTCTGTCTCTTGCACGACACCCTTTAAAAAAACATCTTTGATTTTAGAGACAAGACTCTATACTCTGAATATCAGAGTTAGCAAACTTTACGTAGTGTGTTGTATTTTCTACTGAACGAGACCTGTCAAATCAGTAGTTAACTAAAGGCAAGAGAAAGTTTTTTAGTGTTAGAAACTGTTACCTTGACAAGCTTTCAGTTCTATCCAGGTACCATTTTCATCACACCTCAGACAACCCCTCCCACCATTTTGAGTGAAGCCAACCAAACAGTCAAAACGGAAATCTTCATTAAATGTTCTGGATTCTGTTACATCATCAGAGTTAGTGATATTCACACCTTGTGGACACACTACAGCTGATATAATAAAATATATTCATCAGACAATACCCAGAGAGTAAAGTGAAATCAAAATATGACAGTCGACATGCACCAATCACCAGTTTGAAATATTCAACCTTCAGTCATACACTTCTTTTAAACTCTTTAGAACGATACTGAATAATATTGAGTATGAGTTATTGCCCTTGTTCTTGAAAAGGTGTTCAATCTTTAGCTCGTGGAAACTCTAGAAGACAAATATTCAATCTTCCAGCGTTACTGAATAATAAAACCAAGTTTTGTCAAAATCCAGCAAGAGTCATGCCTTCTAGATTTTTTAAGAGCTACAAATTGAACGAATTTCAAGAGCAAGGGCACTTTCTCATACTAAATATTTTTCGATTTTTCTGATTTTCAATAGGGTTTATCCATGAGTGATAACCAACGCTCATGCCGAGTTTCGTCAAAATCTGTCAAAAATTGTGCCTTCTAGAGTGTTTAAAACCTAAAATTGAACGCGTTTTCAAGAACAAGGGCAATAACTCATACTAATTATTTTCGATTTTTCTGATTTTAAATAGGGTTCATCTTTGGGTGATTACAAACAACCATACCAAGTTTCGTCAAAATCGGTCAAGAATTGTGCCTTCTAGAGTGTTTAAAAGCTAAAATTGAACGCGTTTTCAAGAACAAGGGCAATATTTCATACTAATTATTTTCGATTTTTCTGATTTTAAATAGGGTTCATCCTTGTGTGATTACAAACAACCATACCAAGTTTCGTTGAAATCAGTCAAGAATTGTGCCTTGTAGAATGTTTACAAGCAATTATGGGCGGACGGAAATGGGTGACGGCAATATACGCCCCTCATTTCAGTGGGTGTATAAAAATGGGACAGTCGACATGCACCAATTCATATTCGGTCTACACTAAGAAAGGCATCCTAGATTATCAAAGATAAATGTCAGAGTCAGGTGTCTTCAGAAAATGTAAGCAATCTCTGTCTCTTGCACAAAACCCTTTAAAAAAACATCTTTGATTTTAGAGACAAGACTCTATACTCTGGATATCAGAGTTAGCAAACTTTACGTAGTTGTGTTGTATTTTCTACTGAACGAGACCTGTCAAATCAGTAGTTAACTAAAGGCAAGAGAAAGTTTTTTAGTGTTAGAAACTGTTACCTTGACAAGCTTTCTGTTCTATCCAGGTACCATTTTCATCACACCTCAGCATACCCGTCTCACCATTCTGAGTGAAGCCAACTGAACAGTCAAAACGGAAATCTTCATTTATTGGACTGGATTCTGTTACAACATCAGAGTTAGTGATAATCTCACCTTGTGGACACTCTAAAGCTGATATAATAAAATATACTGATCAGACAATACCCAGAGAGTAAAGTGAAACCAAAATGGGACAGTCAACATGCACCAATTCAAATTCAGTCCACACTAAGAAAGTATAACAAAACACAAGACAATATTATGGAATATAGCGTCATCTGAAGACGACACGTGTATATTGTGTTGAAACATTATGTGCCCAACCTTCTTAAAGAAGTGTGTTATATTCCATACTATTGTCTTGTGTTTTGTTATATGTGCTCCTCGCTTCTATATGTCGTTCAAACCTTACACACTAAGAAAGGTATCCTAGATTATCAAAGATAAATGTCAGAGTCAGGTGTCTTCAGAAAATGTAAGCAATCTCTGTCTCTTGCACGACACCCTTTAAAAAAACATCTTTGATTTTAGAGACAAGACTCTATACTCTGAATATCAGAGTTAGCAAACTTTACGTAGTGTGTTGTATTTTCTACTGAACGAGACCTGTCAAATCAGTAGTTAACTAAAGGCAAGAGAAAGTTTTTTAGTGTTAGAAACTGTTACCTTGACAAGCTTTCAGTTCTATCCAGGTACCGTTTTCATCACACCTCAGACAACCCCTCCCACCATTCTGAGTGAAGCCAACTGAACAGTTAAAACGGAAATCTTCATTAAATTTTCTGGATTCTGTTACAACATCAGAGTTAGTGATATTCACACCTTGTGGACACTCTACAGCTGATTAAATAAAATATATTGATCAGACAATTGTGATTTGTGAGTTGAATTTATTAATTCATCTTGCATATTTTTGTGGTTGCTGATTTCTTTGGATTTAATTGATTACTACTACTAATTATTTGGATTTGGGGGGATTGCCGGATTCCAATGGTCAAGATCCTAGGCAATGGATCGATTTGCTAAGCTTTCCAGGCGACATCGCACTTACAAAGGACAGCATACTCGGTAGAAAGTCGAGGATGGGGGTACCACAATCGGTCAGCTTAGATCGATGCGATACTCCGAGGAGTAATTCTTCATGAAAGGGGGTATAACGTATCAAGTGTACGTCGATTCAAAGTTAAGGAAGGAGCCAAAGACGGAACAGTAGTATTATCGTTCCCGAAAGGGCAGATTCCAAGACAGATCGGAATCGTCTACCTGATCCGGTATACCTACCCCTAAGTGGACGGGGTCCGCCGCTGCTACAAATGCCCATATTTTGGTCATCTTGGCAAACACTGCCGAGGGACACCAAAATGCGGCAAATGTGGAGGCGCGCATTTCACGGAGGCATGCAAGGCATCGGATTCAAAATGTGCCAACTGTAATGGAAGGCATATGGCAGGTGACCCTTTAGTGTGTGATCAAACACAC